GAATGTTAATCAGCATTAAAAGAGAATAAAATCATGGCATTTTCAGGTAAATGAAAGGAGTTAGAGACTAGCGTGCTAAGCTAAGTAAGCCAATCTCCCCAAATCAAAGGCTGAATGTTCTCTCTGGGAAGTGAATGCTGATCCATAATGGTGGGGGGAGGGTTATGGGAAAAATGGAGGAACTTTGATTGGGCAAAGGGGAAGGATGGGAGGAGAGGGGGTATTGTGGCAAGAAAGACGGTGGAATGCGATGGATATTATTTCCCTAGGTACATGTATGACTGCACATATGGTGTGACACTACATTGCGTACAGAGAAATGAGAAGTTGTGCTGCAATTGTGTACAATGAATCAAAATGCATTTTGCTGTCATATATACCTGATTAAAATAAATAAATAAATTTTGAAACGAAATTGATTTTTTAGTTTTAAATTCTGGTCAGCACTAAAAAGCTAAATTTGTGACATGCATATAACAACTTTATTAACTACAGACCAGTGTGTTTATGTTTTATCATCTCTCCTGGTCTGTACTCACATTTCTAATTTACATTTAAGCTTGCACAGAATTCTCCCTATTTGTGACACTTTATAAACAATAGTTGTGGAAATGAGATTGAGCTAGAATTTTAGTAATTGGCAAATTTGAGTAGGCAGACAAAACGCATGCCCTGAACAGAGGCAAAAATAGTGGGAGAACTGAGTTGACTACTACTGCTTGAACAGGAGACTCAGACAAGTTGAGACACTTCCAAATACTTGCCATGATATGGGAGCAATGCCATCACATTTTGTTTTCATAGAACACTGGCAATGGAAACCAAACCTGGTGAATGCCAAAGCTATATTGCCAATACTAGACTTCAGTCCTCTGCTATTTTCTCCTATGAGACTATAAGCTCCAAAACACTAGAGAATTTTATTTGTTTTGCTTTCATTACTGCCTAGACCATCAGTAGCTGGTAACTCATGAGACTTAAATATTTTATGATGGATTAATAAATGAAGTTATTTGTGACTTTAAAAAAAATCAATGTATCACTCACTTTATAATCCTTATATGCATAAAGACATAGCTTCCTTTATTTTCCAATTGCTTAAGTGCATATGTTTCTTTTCCAACTCAAGGTATTTTTAATAAATTCCAATATTACCTTCCTTGTTAGTATGACATAATAATGTAATTTGTTTCTCTCTATGGTTTTCAAGGTCATTTCTAATTAAATAATAATGAATCCTTGATGAATCAGAAAATGACTATTTTCTAACCAAATATTTGATGAATTCTTTTTCTCTCTTGGATAGTTTTTGGGGAATAAAATTATGAATACAACTGTGAAAGGTACTCCCTTCTTAAAGATGAATTCATGGGTATCTCATGTAGTTTCTTATTAACAGACATCTTCATAGCCTGCTAAGATTCTTGGGGGGAAATGCTAGTGTCATAAAATGAAAGAGAAATTGGTGATTCATTCCAAACCAGAAAAATCAAGCTGAACTTTTATGATTTGTTTTACTTCTATTTCTTCTGCCTATGTTAGACACCAGCAAGAAATACGTATATAATAAGAAAATGGAGATTTTTTGCCCCCAAGGAGACAATAATACAGTAGAAGTAATCATACATCAATTCAAACAATGTCACAAAAAGACTGGCAATGCCCTGGAGTTAAGAAAGTCAGGTCACTACTGATAGATATGATCATAGAAAAGAAAGCATTTGAGATGGGTTTTAATATTTGTGTTTTATAATCTCTCCTGATCTTTAATTCCACTTCTAATTTATATTTTACCTTGTACATATTTCTTCGATATTTATAAGATTATGTAAGTAAATATTCATGGAAATGAGATTAAGCCTCTTTCTAAAACTATTGTGATAGTTGCCGTAAGGAACATTTTATGTATGCTAATTTGATAGAACCAGCAATTAGATGTCCACTTATTTTCAAAATCCCTATGTGTTGTTACTAATGTCAAAGAACTCTTAATCCAGCAGCAGAGTGAGGATCTTACCCCACATTTCTCAGTTGGTTCCAGTTCTCTTATCTCTATGCTATAGTATCCTTCAAATAATAAAGTATGAATTATTCTATTACACTTTACATTTTTCTGCCCACCAATTTTTGAATTCCATAGAAAAATAAAATTAATAAGTATCATATTTCTCACTCAAACAAAAGTAGGCATTACACTTTCTATTACTGAACAAATTATAATAACATTTTTTAACACTTTATTGAACAACATTTAAAATTATAATAACATTTTTGAACACTTTAAGGTAGTAACTCTATTAAGCACACTCTTAAATGCATCATTTCATTTAATTATCACAACATCCTTGTTATTTATCTGTATCATAAATAAAGAAACTGAGGCATGTAGAATTAAGCACTTGCCCAAGATGAACCATTAGTAAATAGAAGAGTTTGCGCTTGTATATGAATAAGAGCCCCTGTCCTTAATCACTCAACCACAAAGACAAGACCTAGGTGGGAAACCATATCTATTGACTGACTTTGATACTTTAAAAGCCTACTGTATAAAACACACAAAAATAAATACAGATTATTAGTTATTCAATGATGTTAACTCAAAAATCAAAACAGGTATGATTTATTCTTTGGTCGGGGAAGCAGTTATTAATCTGGCATTCTCCGAGTTTGGATCCATGTTCTAGAAACCACATGAAAATACCTAAGAAGCAGTAGGAGAGCTAAGACCAGGTTGGTAAAGACGGCTGGTGGTGGGAAGGCCAGAATAGGGCACAGAGGGGGCCAGGAGAAGGGCGGGCCCATTGTTTCGGGAACCTGTTTCCGAGGGAGGGGGCCCAAGTCAGGGATGGACTAGGAACCGGAGAAGGCAGTCCTCGAGGCGGACTTTGAGGAGCCTGCAGCGACGGTGAGTAGCTCCAAACTCAGTAAGCGGCTCGAAATTCCGCTTTTTTCCAAGAAGATTCTTTTCTTCACACCTTCTCACATTGTCCTGCATCCGTATAAGGCTCCCGAGGTCCTTGATCCCGACCCCTGTGGCTCATGGGCCCCAGGCTTCAGGAATGAGAGTGAAGGGAGGCCAAAAAGGAAGAGGCAGAGGCGAGGGGAGCCTGTGCTGCTGACGCCAACCAGGAGCGGCCAGGGCCCACGGAGCGGGGTCCCGGAGACAGCGAGCCCCTGGACTCCAGCCAGCAGAAATGAGCCGGACGGGGAATGGGATTATCTTTGCTGTGGGAACTGTTTGAAGCTGGTCCTTGAAGATCAAAAGTCAGTCTCTGCTGCCCACGAAGGAATTTAACTAGTACTAACTAAGTTGTCACCTGATTTTACAGAGCAAAAGCATATTCTTTGAAAAGATCAGGACCTGGAAAATTGGGGGTGGGGGGGACAGTAAAGACACGTAGAAGTGAACTAGTTTGCTCGCCAATGCGACAAAAGGAATAGCATGCAATAATAGCAAGTGGAATATTTTGTTGTTGATTTTGTTTGGGGCTTTTTGTTTGTTGGCTTGTTTATTGTCAGCTAACCCCAACCTTTAGTGACGATTTAGTGAGGAAAAATATTTCATGAGTATTACTAGGGTAACGGAATTATAGAACATCAAGCTCAAAGTAAAATGCATTAGTTCAGAAGCTAGTTTCTTAGCCAAAACTCTGGTAAAAACCATTTTTTTTAAATTTAAAATATTAGAGACTAAAAAATATGGAGGAATTTTTCATTAACTATTTCAGATTACCCTACAGTTGTATTAAAAATTAACAATGATATCAAATTGTGATGAGTTTTTAATTTTGTTGTCAGAAGAATTTTAGATCGTGGAAGGCTATTACAATTATTTTTCTGCCATAAGGATTGAGTTTTAGCTACTTAAAGAATTTCATACACAGTTTTACTCACTGGTGATACTGCAGATAATAATTCAATAAACTGAAAATGCACAGCTAAAATTCAGATTTCAAAACTATTAAAGAGTTGTAATGTAAAATAATACAAAAAGAAGGATGAAGTGGAATTTTGATGAAAATATTGTCACACAATATCTGATTTTGGTATATTTATTTTTAAATAATATTATGCTCCCCCCCCCAATTATTTTCAGTAATTATTTCAGGAGTTTTACTTACCCTTTCCTTTAGTCTAGTCCACACACTCAACATTGTCTCCTTCCTCACTCTACACTCCCTGAATTTCAAATGTACTTTCCCCATCATTTTTCTCTGGAGAAAAGTCTAAAGACATCTAAAGACAGATGTATATAGTTTCATACTGTGTTAATCTTGATTCCTTCTAGATACCTTCTTCCACTGCCAAATGTAAATACTGGCTCCTTTGCAAAAAATCAGTTTCTCTATCTGGGCTGAATGATTTTACCTCTGGAATTCTGAAGAATTTCTTATGATTAGTTCTGTAGGACTAAAGCTAGAACTGTTACCATTCACTCAGCAGTTAATTGGTTGTTCCCAAAGGTTAATCTTATATAAAGTTACCAAAAAATTGAAATACAGAGAGATTGTTTTGAGCACTTCAATTTCCATATATGCTTTATATACCAAGCAAAATATGAAGTATAAGCAGACTACCAGAAAATATTTGTGATGTGATACTTTGACATGTTGAGCATCTTAAATTGAGAATACTCACACTTAAAAGTCATGCCTTTGACTTTAAGTTCAGACATACTGATGGCAAAGGAGATGAGCGTTAGTGCGATTATTTGGGTTTTTTTATAATAAGGACAAATAACATCTATTTATATTCTTATCATTGCACTAATTTTAGATTTTTTTAGACAAATTACACCTGGGGAGAAAATGATAATAAGTGGAGAAAACTTAATGCATATGACCCTATTGTTGATGCTGGGTATAACAAAATACTCAGAGTGGAAGGAAGCTCAAGTAAGTATTCTATAAATAAAGTAAAGAAACTTTAGTGTTTGAGTTATGACTACTATCGTGATGCTTTAGATTTTTCTTAACACTCTCTGCTCTTCACTAGTTCAGGCATGGATCAAAGCAGTGAAGGATGTATGAAAAAGACTGGCAGTGTGAATCTTGACAAACTTATAAATGACTTCTCACAAATAGAAAAGGTATGTAAATATAGCCAATGGCTATGGTGTATGAGGAAAAATGGAAGAGATTTTATCAATGGGAGAAATTTGAAAGAAAAAAATGTTGCCAAAAATGAGCAAGATACAGATAATGAAAATATATTTTGCCAAGCCCTTTGTCTCTAATTTTTAAGATTTGTATTTAAAATATATCTAGTCTTGACTCATTTATACTAATATATCAAAAACTTTCCAGGGCAAGGGAACAAATAATTCGTGTACTTTTGCCAAAATTAAAGATAAAATACACATCTAAGTGTCCAAACTAATGTCCAAACTCGGAAATAGATTTAATGAGAATTAAATTTCAGTCTCCTACCATTATAAGTACTTTATTTTAGTTCTTTACCATTTGTCTCTGTTCTCTCTTGCTGCTCTTTTACCTAAAACCAAACCTACTTGAAGTCCTTCTCTCCAACTTTGGACAAATGGTAAGCCAAACGATGTATTGTTTTCCCCTCTTCTCTGACAGAGGAAGATATATGAAAACTGTTGAAAAAAATGTAGGTGAATAAACTAAAGATTTGAAGAGTGAATTTGTAAAGCAAGAATGGGAGGGAAGACCTTCCCCTATTTTCTCTCCTTTTCTTATTTTTTATGTCTATTTTTATTCACACAGATTGCCATATTTAAAGAATTTTCATGGCCTTAGATTTTTGAGGCAATATGATCTTTTTTCAAACAATGAGCTTAAGTTTTCTTAACTGTATAATTAGCAAAAGAGAAAAGAGAAATAGAAAGCACTGTTGGAGAGAAGAGATTTAGTGAAAGGTTTTTTTTTTGGGGGGGCAGGTTGGAGATTAATTTAGAAGTATCTCATATTCTTAAATATTTTTGATAAGAAATAGTTGTTCATTTTTGATGTGATAGTGGTAATATGAACATATTTTGAAAGTCATGTCTCTTAGAGATACATGTAGATGGTAATACAAATGAATTCATGTCAATTGCTTTGAGATAAAATCAGAAGTGGTAATATTAAGGAAGTGGGTAGAGTATAGATAATATATGACTAGTCATAAATTGATATTTGAAGCTATTTAAAGAGTTTGTGGAGGCTTTTTATACTGTTCACAAAAATCCAAAGCAGTAGGTTTAAGAATATTTATCTACTATAATAGCAAAAAAAGTAGAAATAACAAATTTTCTCATAGGAGACTAGGTAAATAAATTATAATATATTCAAAAATACCCATGAACATATATGAGTTTACCACAGTGAATCTCATCATCATGTACATTCACAAGAAATTAATTAAAAAAAAAAAAACTGTGGCTAAATGGCAGAAAGATCAGTAGAGGAAAGAGAGCAGTGGTGTGGGGGAGGGGGAAAGGAGGTATTGAGGACTGCATCAAAACAAGATATAGTCCTTGCTTTTATAATTATGTCAAAATGCTTTCTATTGTTATATATAATTAAAAAGTACAAAAAAAATTAAAAATGAAACCAAGTGCAGCTGGTAAAAAGAATGAGGTACATCTATACATGGTAATATGGCATCATGTCCCAGATAATAGTGCTAAGTAGAATAGTCAAGGTGCAGAACAGAATACAGATGATCATTTTCTGTAGTTGTATATAGTCAAAAAATACTTTGGAAGCATATAAAAGGAAGAGTTTTTGTTTGTTTGTTGATTTTGGATTTTTTTTTTTTTTGAGACAAGATTTCACTGTGTTGCCCAGGTTGGCCACAAACTCCTATGCTCAAGAGATCTTCCTGCCTTAGCCTCTTACATAGTTGGGACTACAGGCTTGTATATGCCTGGCTAGCAATCATTAACTATGGAAATGAGGGTTGAAGAATTGCCGAAAGGAGTTCAAGTTAGGCCATACTTTTATTTTATAATCGTTAGTGTGGTTTAATATATTATCAGGTTACTTTTTAAATTAAATATAAACTAGGAAGTTTGTCTCTTTAAAATTATGTTTCATCTTTAACTATTAGACTTTTAGGTAGTGATTTATATTCTCATTAGTCTTCATATCTTTAGTAAAAGAATAGAAACACTTTCATTGACTTGATAATAATGTTTACTCTATTTCTTCTACAGAAAATGATAGAAACCAGTGGAAAGAACAAAATCCTGGATATTCAGTTGGAAAAGACTAACTCTTTATTAAAAGTAATGCAAACAAAAGAAGTCTCAATGAAAGAAGGTAGGTTTTTGTTCCCTAAAGAAATATTAATGAGAATACAACAGTGTTTTTAATATTATACATATATTTGTAAAGTATTTTAAATTCATATTGAACTTTTCAGACTTTCATCAAATTTTATTCTTTGTATAGCTCTGAAAGAAGGATAGGACTAGTATTATTATCCTACTCTACCAGTATAGAAACATAAAATGAAGAAGAAGTTAAATAATCTATGGCTAGGCATTTAAGAATGACAAATAGAAGGCTCAACACAGGAAGAATACAGTTGAATTCCTACTTCACAATTACATCTAAATAAACATACAATGGGTCAATAGTTGTAGTATTGAAAATAAGCAGGACACATATATTTTCTTTGTATGTCAACTAAGAGGACCTGGAAGCAACAATATCGTAGTAGCAATGAGAGCAACGAGTGCTCAGATTTGGGTATTTAATATACCATTCTCTATAAAAAGAACTGGCTGATTCTAGAACTGGGGCAGAAAGTAAATAAATAAACCTGAAGCATTTTGTAATGTCAAAAATTTTAAAAAGTTCTTGAAAAGAAAAAATAAATCCACAATGATGGTAGTGTGTCAAAAGGGACACAGAAACCAAATGAAAGAGCTCTCAGTGGCCAAAGCTGGGATAATTTGAACAACAAAGTTAATAAAGTAATGTTGAACTATACTCAAAGTATAAAAAATTTCACAAGTCTATACTGATATAAGTAAATGATTTAAATAAATAATCGAGGAAGAGCCAAATCTCCTTTTTAGCAGAATTCCATATAACTTACATAGATAATCTGTTCTCAAACAGAACAGATCACGACTCTAAACACATTGAGTGTGGTCTGAGTAAAGTTATCTCCTTTATTAGAGTGAAGAATATAGCATGAAAAGGATGGTAATATAGGGAAAGTAACTACACAGTGGAGAAAACTGACAACTACTACCTCAGCCACATGGTCATGGTCAACATTAAAAGGGATGTCATGTTGATCTTGATACGATATAATATATGATATGATAAAAATGACACTTTATTTTTATAGTCTTCCTCCTCATAACCCATAATCTCTGCTCACTTTTGCAGCACCTATACTAAAATTGGAATGATACAGATAAGATTAGCATGACTTTTAAACCATAAACCCAGTCTAATCATGAGATAAACATCACACAAATTCCCATTTAAAGGACATTACAGAATACCTGCCAGTACTTGGCAAAATTATTGAGGTCATCAGAAACAAGGAAATAGAACAGTCAAAATCAAGAGAAGACTAAGAAGATTTGACAAACAAATGTAATATGGTATAGTGAATGGGATCTGAGAACAGAAAAAGGACATTGAATAGAAACTAAGGAAATCCAAATAAAGTATGGATTTTAGTTAATAATGCATCAACATTGGTTCATTAATTGTAAGAAATTTACCATACCAATTAAGGTGTTAATAATAGAGATAATTGGATATAGAATATATGGCAGTTCTCTTTAATATCTTTCCAATTTTTCGGTACACCTAAAACTGTCCTAAAAAATAGAGTTTATTAAAGTTCAAAAAGGTGAAATTACAAAAATAAATAGAAAATTTTGGAATTCTTATAATGGAGAGGCCTTTCTAAATGTGTGACACAATAAGTAGAAATGATAAGACAAAATATTTGTTAGTTTTAATTTTTAATTAGTAGACATTTTCAGGCATAGTTTAGATTTACAGAAAAGGGTGAAAATACAGAATTTCCATATGTCCTATCACCCCCTTCAATTTCCCTATATCAACATATTGGATTTGTGTGGTACATTTGTTGCGATTCATGGGGCAATATTGATAACACAATTATTAACTAAAGTCCATAGTTTATTTTTTATTTATTTATTTTTTTTACTCGTTAGCTACTAATTTTTTTTATTAATAGATATTCTTTGTATATAATGATTTTTTTTTATTTTATTTTTTTTTATTGTTGGTTGTTCAAAACATTACATAGTTCTTGATATATCATCTTTCACACTATTATTGTTCAATCTATGTTATATATTCTGTGGGTTTTGACAAATGCATGACATGTATCCTCCATTACAGTATCACACAGAAAAGTTTCACTGCTCTACTTACTCGTCCCCCCATTTTACCATCCCAAGATTCTATAATCACTGATCTTTTTACTATTTCCATAGTTTGACCTTTTCTGGAATGTCATACTATATAGCATTTTCAGATTCACTTATTTTACTTAGCAATATGCATTTAAGGTTTCTCTAAGGGGTAGTTTGTGTGGTGGTGTGTTTGTGTATATGTGTGTGTATCTTAATAACAAATTATTTTATTGTATTATTGTATGGAAGTATCACAATTTATTTGTCTACTCACTTATTAAAAGGCACCTTGGTTTAATCCAAATTTTGGATTTGAATTAAAACAGCCTTATACAGGTTTTTGTGTAGACATAGTTTCAACTGATTTGGGTAAATACCAAGGAGTGCAATTGTTGGATCACATGGTAAGAGTGATCAAGATGGTCATAAAATTAACGTAGAGGACTAGGTACTATAGAAAATGCTTTATATGTTTGTGTTAGTCAGCTTTTCATTACTATAACAAATACCTGAGATAAATTAACTTAAAAAGAAAAAGGTTTTGTTTTGGTTTGCAATTTTGGAGGTTTCAGTTCATGATCAATTGATCCCATTACTTTGGGCCTGCTGTAGCACATCATAATGGTATGTGCACATTCACCTCAGGGCAAGGTGTAAAGGTGAGGAAAAGAAAAAGTGAGAAAAAGCTGCCTCAAATCAAGAGCATGCCAATAATGGCGTAACTGCTTCCCAAAAGGCCCTACATCTTGAAGTTTCTGCCACCTACCAGTAGCACCATGGACTGGGAACCAAGCCTCTAACACATGGGCCTTTGGGAAACTTTTCCAAATTATAGTAATTTTTTATTTTTATTTTTTATTGTAATTAGTTATACATGATAGTAAAATGCATTCTGACACATTATATATAAATGGAGTATAACTTTCCATTCTTCTGATTGTAGATGATGTAGAATCATATCAGTTGTGTAATCATATATGTACACAGGATAATAATACTTGATTCATTCTACTACCCTTTCTATCTCCATACCTCCTCCCCTCCCTTTACTCCCCTCTGCCTAATCCAAAGTACTTCTGTTTTTCTTTGGCTTCCCCACTTATTGTGAATTATCATCTGTATATCATAGTACATTTGGCCTTTGGTTTTTGGGATTGGCTTGTTTTGCTTAGCATGATATTCTCCATCCATTTACTGACAAATGCCATAATTTCTTTCTTCTTTAAGGCTGAGTAATATTCCATTGTGTATGTATACCACATTTTTTTAATCCATTAATCTGTTGAAGGGCATCTAAGTTGGTTCCATAGTTTAGCTATTGTGAATTGAGGTTCAATAAACATTGATGTGGTGGTGTCACTGTAGTGTGCTGAGTTTAAGTCCTTTGGGTATAAAACAAGGAGTGGATTAACTGGGTGAAAAGCTAGTTTCATTTAAAGTTTTGTGAGGACTCTCCATATTGCTTTCCAGAGTGGTTGCACCATTTTGCAGTCCCACTAGCAATATATGAATGTACCTTTTCCCCCCAACATCTTTGCCAACACTTATATAGTTGCTTGTATTCTTTATATATATATATATGTGTGTGTGTGTGTGTGTGTGTGTGTGTATATATATATATATATATATATACACATACATATATATATTTTATTTTTATTTTTTGATGTAGATGGACACAACACAGTGCCTTTATTTTTTTTATGTGGTGCTGAGGATCGAACCCTTGTCCTGCCCTTGCTAGGCGAGCACTCTACAGCTGAGCCACAATCCCAGCCCCAGCTTGTATTCTTGAAAATTGCCGTTCTGACTACAGTGTGATGAAATTGCTAGAGATGTTAAACGTTTTTTTATACATTTGTTGATCAATTGTATTTCTTCTTCTGTGAAGTGTCTGTTCAGTTCTTTAGCCCATTTATTGATGGGGTTATTTGTTTTGTTGTTAAGTTTTTTGAGTTCTTTATATATCCTGGAGGTTGAGGTTCTGTCTGAGGTGCAGATGGTAAAGATTTTCTCCCATTCTGTAGGCTCTCTTTTCACATTATTGATTGTTTCCTTTGCTGAGAAGAAGCTTTTTATTTATTTGTTTGTTTGTTTATTTTAAATATTTATTTTTCAATTTTCAGTGGACATAACATCTTTATTATATTTTTATGTGGTGCTGAGGATCAAACCCAGCGCCCCGCGCATGCCAGGCGAGCGCATTACCGCTTGAGCCACATCCCCAGCCCAGAGAAGAAGCTTTTTAGCTTGAATCCATTGTATGTGTTAATTCTTGATTTTACTTCTTGCGCTTTAGGAGTCTTTTTAAGGAAGTCAGTTCCTAAGCTGACATGGTGAAGATATGGGCCTATTTTTTAGTGCAGGATCTCTCTTCTAGTGCCTAAGTCTTTGATCCACTTTGAGTTGAGTTTTGAGAAGGGTGAGAGATAGGGGTTTAATTCATTTTGTTACATATGGATTTCCAGTTCTTTTCTCCAGTGAATGTTTTTGGTGCCTTTGTCTAGGATGAGATAACTGTATTTATATGGGTTTGTCTCTGTATCTTCTATTCTGTACTAATGGTCTTCATGTCTGTTTTGGTGCCAATACCATTCTTTTTTTTTTTTTTACTATGGCTTTTTAGTATTAATATCTATATTGTGATGCATCCTGCTTCACATTTTTCACTAAGGATTGCTTTGGCTACTCTGGGTCTCTTATTTTTCCAAATGAATTTCATGATTGCTTTTTTTTTATTTTTATGAAGAATGTCATTGGGATTTTAATAGGAATTGCATTAAATCTGTATAATGATTTTGCTAGCATGGTCATTTTGACAACATTAATTCTACCTGTGCTCTTGGGGAGGCAGATGTGACCATGATCTTTCCATATTCTAAGCTTTTTTATTTTTTTTTTCTTATAGTGTTCTGTACTTTTCATTGACAAAGTCTTTTACTTCTTTTGCTAGGTTGATTCCCAAGTATTTTTCTTTATTTGAGGCTATTATGAATGGGGTAGTTTTCCTAATTTCTCTTTCAATGGATTCATTACTAATGTACAGGAACATGTTTGATTTATGGGTGTTGATTTTAAATCCTGCTACTTTGCTGAATTCATTTATGAGTTCTAGAAGTTTTCTGGTGGAATCATTTGGATCTTCTAAATATATAAGATGTTGTCTGCAAATAGTGATAGTTTGAGTTTGTCTTTTCCTGTTTGTATCCCCTTAATTTCTTTCATTTGTCTAATTATTCTGGCTGAGTTTCCAGGACTATGTTGAATAGAAGTGGTGATAGAGGGCATCCCTGTCTTGTTCCAGTTTTCAGAGGGAATGCTTTCAATTTTTCTGCATTTAAAATGATGTTGGCCTTGGGTCTAGCGTAGATAACTTTTACAGTGTTGAGGTGTGTTCCTACTATCCATAGTTTTTCTAGTGTTTTGAACATGAACGGGTGCTATATTTTGTCAAATGCTTTTTTAAATTTAAATTTGTTATGTATGACAGCAGAATGCATTACAACTCATATTACATATATAGAACACAATTTTGCATCTCTCTGGTTGTATACAAAGTATATTCACACCATTCGTGTCTTCTTACATGTACTTAGGGTAATGATGTCCATCTCATTCCACCGTCTTTCTACCCCCATGCCCCCTCAATTCCCCTCCCTACCCTTTGCCCTATCTAGAGTTCATCTAATCTTCCCATGCCCCCCCACCCCATTATGAATCAGAATCCTTAAATCAGAGAAAACATTCAGCATTGGTTTTGGGGGATTGGCTAACTTCACTTACCATTATATTCTCTAACTTAACCCATTTACTTGCAAATGCCATGATTTTATTCTTTTATTGCTGAGTAATATTCCATTGTGTATATATACCACATTTTCTTTATCCATTCATCTACTGAAGGGCATCTAAGTTGGTTCCACAGTTTAGGTATTGTGAATTGTGCTGCTATAAACATTGATGTGGCTGTGTCCCTATAATATGCTGTTTTTAAGTCCTTTGGGTGTAGATTGAGGAGAAGGATAGCTGGGTCAAATGGTGGTTCCATCCCCAGTTTGGCAAGGATTCTTCATACTTCTTTCCAGATTTGCTGCACCAGTTTGCAGTCCCACCAGCAATGTATGAGTGTACCTTTTCCCCCACATCCTCGCCAACACTTATTATTGTTTGTGTTCTTAATAGCTGCCATTCTGACTGGAGTGGGATGAAATTTTAGAGTAGTTTTGATTTGCATTTCTCTGATTGCTAGAGATGTTGAACATTTTTTCATATATTTGTTGATTGATTGTATATCTTCTGAGAAATGTTTGTTCAGTTCCTTGGCCCATTTATTGATTGGGTTATTTGTTTTCAAATCCTTTTTTTTTTTTTTTTTTTTGCATCAAGTGAGATGATCATATGATTTTTGTCTTTAAGTCATTGATGTGATGAATTACTCTTAGCAAATACAAAAAAATAGAGATACTACCCTGCATTCTATCAGATCATAATGGAATGAAAGTAGAAATCAATGATAAAATAAAAAGTAGAAGCTACTTCAATACCTAGAGACTAAATAATATGCTATTGAATGACAAATGGATAGCAGAAGAATTCAAGGATGAAATAAAAAATTACTTAGAGGTAAATGAGAACTCTGATACAACATATAAAAATCTCTGAGACACTATGAAGGCAGTAATAAGAAGAAAGTTCATTGCTTTGAGTTCATTTATTAAAATAATAGAAAGTCAATGAATAAATGATCTAATATTACATCTCACAACCCTAGAAAAAGAAGAACAAATCAACACCCAAAGCAGAAGACAGGAAATAATTAAAATCAGAACTGAAATCAATGAAATTGAAATATACTAATGTTTTAATTGCACGTAATAGTTCCAAATTGCTAATTAATGATAGAGCCTAAATTTGAGCACAAAATTATTATTAAATTATTAATGATTATTAAATTATATAAGAAATAACATAATATTCTGAAATTTTTAGCAAAATTTAATAGTACACTAATTTTTAAATTATAAAATAAAGGCTAACACAAAAGACAATGTGGGTTAAGGTTTGCAAAGAAAATTAAAAGCCATTTGTTGTGGTTCAGATATGAGGTGTCCCCCAGAAGATCATTTTGAGACAATACTAGACAACTCAGAGGTGAAATGATTAGGATTTTAGAGCCTTAACCTACTCAATACATTAATCCACTTGAATGGATTAACTAGGTGGTAACAATAAGCAGGTAGGGTGTAACTGGAGGAGGTGGGTCACTGGGGACATGCCTTTGGGGTATATCTTTTGTCCTTGTTGAGTCTAACTTAGTCTCTCTCTGCTTCCTGCTGCTATATTCCAAGCTGCTTTCCTAGGTAGTGCTTTTCTACTATGATGTTCTGCCATATCTCAGGTCCAGAGCAATGGAGTTAGCCTTCTGTAGACTGAAACTCTATGCCGCAGATAAACTTTTCCTCCTCTAATTGTTCTTGTCAAGTCTTTTTGTCACAGTGGCAAAAAACAAAAACAAAAACAAAAAAACTCACTAAAACACCATTATTCCAAGTTACCGAGTGTTATTTTACCTTATGAATAATTCCTCTTCGAGCCAGTTTCCATTGTAGAAAAAAATTTGGTAAGAGAGCCACCTTGTGTTCAAATTTTGAAAGCACATTTTATTTTAAGAAAATCCAGTGTACTTTCAGTTACAGGGCTTGGTTTTCAATTTACTGCTTATGGAAGTAAATTTAGCTACCATGTTTTATGAATTGCTGAATTCATTATAGTAAAAGACACAAGAACTAATAATGGCAAAAAGTATCACTTATTTTGTAATTATAGTAGCTAGCATAGTAACATGTGAAGTAGGTTCTCAGCTAATGTCTATCAAATGTAATTTAATCATCATTCTATTACGGGGAAATAGCAAAGTAGAGAAAATGGAGGATGGTGACAATTTTGTCTGAATGGGTGATAAGTACAACAGGGAAGGCCGTATGCAGTGAAAAGCTACAAGAGTAGAACCTAATATCTGAGTAAAGCTTTTAACTTTGCAAAATACTTTCATTTCTGACAGCACAGTTAAAGAAAGTACATGGATCCTGAATGTAGAAACTCTAATTGGAAAGTGAAAAATTTGTATTTTCCCTTCTTATATTTAGACAATAAAAATGGATACTATTTTCTGGCCAGAGCATTTTCACTTATCCCTGTCCTGTTTCAGCTTACTGATCTATCCATCTATCACCTAAAAAATACTTGTGGATTGCATACATGGGCCACAACTATTTTAAATTCCATGGGGAAATGGTAAGAAAAACAAAAAATAGTTCCTGTTATCATGGAGCTTATAACTAAGTGGAATGCTAAAGTCACAGAAATTTCTACCACTGTTCCTCCACATCAAAGGTGTAGCTGTTGGTGGTGGAAACCAAGAGTATGATCAAGGTTTGGATACACACGTTAGGGCTCTAACTTTTGCAATGAAGGGTCCATCTTCCATTATGTCAGAAACCATTGGCATCAAAGTTTCCAATGCCTTGTTAACACTATCATTGAGTCTTTAATCCTTTTATGTTGCTGTGTCTTGCCCTGAGACCTGGGCATGAGTATTAAGAGGACAGGTTGGAAGACAGTGAGTAAGAAAAGCCACATCTCGCACCTTCTCACTAGCCCTTTACCTGTGAACAATATAATTTGGCTCTCTTTTGGGGAGGATATGTACTTACTTTCAGGATAGATATTGCTAATGCTTATAAGAGGATCTCTAATATATTATGCCTCAGAAAACACATTACTGAATCTTGGAATTCACTTAACTCAAAGGGATATTAGAAAGTATTATATGTAATTTACTTTGAGAGGCCTGATTGTTTTATTAAAATTTCATAATTTTCAATTAAATGTTATTTTGTTTTAATTATTTCAATAAAGAGAAGAATTCCAAAATGAAAGCAAAGGATTTTCAAATTTACCTTTTATGTTTTAGAATGTGCTACTCTTCATAATATGATAAAAGGGCTACAACAGACCCTTGAATATCAACACAATTTGAAAGGTAAGTTAGGGGAAGAAATCTTATTTTTAAATTTATTTATGATTTGTTTGAGCCTCTTTAAAATTAGAGTTTTTTTACATTGTTGACAAGTGCCTTTTGTTGTTATTCAATTCATCAACTAAAAGCAAGACTTTTTACTACTTAAAAATACTTTCCTAAATGATTATGAAATAAGAAATGCTATACTGGAGCTGGGGTTGTGGCTCAGCAGTAGAGCACTGACCTAGCACGTGCAAGGCACTGGGTTCAATCCTCAGCACCACATAAAAAAAAAAAAATGAATAAAATAAAGGTGTTGTGTCCAACTACAACTAGGGAAAATAGTTTTTTAAAAAAAGAAAAGAAATGCTATGCTAAACAGAACAATTCAGTCATATTCTGACAAAGACATCCAGAAATGTTTTCTAATTGATCACATGAGTTCTTTTATTACTTTCAAATGTTTGTAAGTACACAGTTGTTCCTCCATATCCATTGATGAATGATTTCAGGATCCTTGTAGATACCAAAAGTATGTGAATGCTCTGGTTCTTTATATAGAAATAGCATAGTATTGCATACAACCTATTTTTATCCCCAGTACTTTAAATCATCTCTAGATTGTAATATCTAACACAGTGTAAAGTGTTATATAGTTATACTGCATTATTTTGGGAATAATGATAAGAAATATCTATGCATATTCAGTACAGACACAATTTTGGTTTTTAACACTTTTGGTCCATATTTGGTTGAATCTACGGGGAGCCCATAGATACAGAAGGCCAATTATTTCCTCTCAGTGCCACTCTTGTTTTTTAATAACCAATTTTGAAGGGTGAATATTTATTAGTTTAACCATGAATGGTCTATTCAAACTACTGTGATAGCTTGCCATTTGATATTTTGTCATAAGACTAAGACTATATTAGTGCAGGTGAAACCAACACAGTTTATTCTATACTTAATAGTTACATTAACCCAATAGGCCTAACATTCACAAAACAGAGTGACCAAGTGTTTATACTGTTCTGTTTCCACTATGCAATGACAGATTTTCCTTTACTATATCAGATATTAAACTAAATTCCTTAAAGGCATCTTCCAACATAAAATCAGGTCAAATAAGCATTTCTTATCATAGACCTCAGTTTTTATCCTCAAAGGAAGTACTTATATATGTAAATATGGTAAAATAATGATCTTATATGTCATTTTTTTACTTTGTCATGTTATTTCTTTTTTGTTCTTGTAATTTTTAAATTTATTTTAAATTTATTTAAGAAATACTATTAGTTCTTACTCTCCCCGCATTTTTTTCCTTTAAAATGGGACAGTTCATGCCATTATCTTAATGCTGAAGACTCTGAACAACTTTTCTTCATGACAGAAATATGACACCCAGCTATGTTAAATAAATGTGAAAATTCATAACCTTTTCCAGCCTCTTATTCTAGGAATCAGATGGCATTTAACTTTTCTCAGGATTTTGTTCTATTTAAGTTGATTTGTTTGAAGTTCTGTGAAATCAATTTTGAATATATTAAATGTTTCTTTGTTTTGTTTGGTTGGTTTGCTTTTGGGGGGGTCTTGTTGTTGGTGTTTTTGTTTTGGTTTGGTTTTGCAGTGTTATTGTTTTGGTTACCAGGAGCACTTAACCACTGGGCAACATCCCCAGCCCTTTTTATGTTTTACTTTGAGTCAGGGTCTTGCTAAGTTGCTTAGGGCCTCATAAAATTGCTGAGGCTGGCTTTAACTTATGATCCTCTTGCCTCGCCTCCTGAGTCACTGGGGTATAGTCGTGCACCACCGCACCTGGCTAAATGTTGTTTCTTTTTGTAAAAAGATATCAAATACTGATCACTAGTCAAGCATACCATCTTTTCAAAGATATAGTGATACAGGGGTTTTTCCTAATTTTATTGGGATAAAGTGGACAATTAAAAATTGTATATATTTAAAGTATACAACTTGAAGATTTGACATATAATATTATGTCAAGTTATTTTTTATTTTTGATTTGTGGTACTGGGGATCAACCCAGGGCTCCCATGCTGATAAACCAAACTTTACCACTAAGCTACATCTCCAACACCTGATTTATTTCTTTTTTAAGTTTGAATAATATCCTATTAAATATCACATTTTTAAAGTCCATTCATTTATTGTCAGACATTTATGTTATTTTTATTTGTGGCTGTTGTGAATAATACTGAAATAAATATGAAAGTATAAATATCTCTTTGGTATACTTACTTCATTTTATTTTAATATATACCCAGAAGAAAGATTGCTATATCATATGGTAGTACTATTTTTAATATTTTTAGGAACCACCATACTGTTTTTCATAATGGCTGTACCAATTTACCATCTCTATGTAAAATTCCCTTTTCTTCACATTCCTGCCAACACTTGTTTGCTATCTTTCATCTTTCTGGTAATAGCCACTCTAACAGGTATAAAGTTAATTAGATAATTTTTCACATCTCTCTGTTTCTTGCTTCTAAATCCCAAGAGATAGACCCAGAAAAAAGATAGAAAAAGCAATTAAAAGGCAAACTAAGACTCCTTTATCACTTCCATGAGTCCTTCTAGACAGTGATAAGGGTCATAAAAATTTTCAATCAAATAGGAAATTTGAATTTTAAATTATCTGAATGCTCAGTGATCAGAATTAGCTAGAGTGTTTTAATCTGTCCAGAAAGTCATTAGCTATTAGGTATTATTTTCAGTTATCCAAATCAGAAGCCTAAAAGGTAAAAATTCTCCCTTTCGCTTTGTCTACTCTATCCAAAGTCACCGAATTCCCTAGTAATTCTACCATCTAAATAGTCCTTCTCATTGCCCCTATTTTTCTGTACTAACCCCTAACCTAATTTAGGTTTCCCATATATTATCTACATTGCCAGATAATTTTTTAGCATGCAACTATAATTATTTCAATTCTTCAATGTTCAAAATTTTATAATGAATTCTATGATAATACACCAAAAGGCATTCATAGAGTTATGTCCACCTCGTTGATATTTCCTGACCTATATAGCACCTTCTTCTCACACTTTGTACTTAAACAATCCTGTACTTCAATTGTGTTTTTCTAAGCATGCTGGGCTCTCTCTCAAGTCCATTGTCTCCTGCTCAGTGTTCTATGTCTAGAATGCCCTTCCATAGCAGGAAATAAGCCTTACCACTTAAATCTCATCTTAGGTGGTTCATTTTCTCCAAAACCTTCCTTACTTCAAGCTGATTGATATAAGTCTTTCTTCCACAGGTCCTCACAGTATTTGAGACTCAATGCTATTGTAAGAACAGTAGTCATAGTATGTGGTAACTATTTATACATCTCTCTCACCATTAGTGTATAAGCTCTGTGAAGAGCAAGACACTCTTCTATATTCCTAGTATCTAGTACAGTAATAGATACATATTTGTTGAATACATATGTGAATGGAAACTAAAATATTAAGCATATTGCATATTAATTAAAAATTGCTATATATTAGGATATTATTTATTTTTATACAGGTGAGAATGAACAATTAAAAAGAAATGCTGACCTTATAAAAGAGAAGTTAAAATCTCATGAACTGGTGAGTTTATATATAATTGCATTAAATCAAGTCCTTATGGAGCATTTGTTTATTTAAATTAGAAAAAGAGATTACTTTATTAATAAACCAGCCAAAAATTTGTGCATATGTGTATATGACATAGGTATACGTATTTTACTTGCCAAAATCTTTAATAAATGAAAACTTCTTTTAAAAATAATGTGTTTTGAGAATTCTAGTCTTTTTATAAAGTAGAATATACTAATATAGCATTCATATTACTTTTTATTTGTACCCAAAAGAGCCTGTTATTTGCTATACATTTTTCAATTTTGTTAATGGAATCTTTAGAATATACTCTATTAACATTTTTAAAGTTTTCCATTATAAAGTAAGTAAGTCTGTTCTCCTTGGGTAATCATTACAACATTCAAATAAGGGCTGCATTTTATGTGAATTACAAATTAATTCTCTCCCAAGGGCTACCATACCCTCTGCTATACTTCCTTCTCTCCTACAGGAACAATCTAGTGATGGCAATTGCAGAACATGTAATATAGTACTTAAAAAACATAAAACGTGTTTAATTGTTTAATATATGTCAGTTGTTATTCCTCTTCCTTCAGGGAAATTTATTATGTTAACTTTCTCATCTCCAAGAGCAAATATATTAAATTCTGGAGGATTTTAGATCTCTAAAATTCAAGTTGGATCTGAAGCAGGGTTCAGTTTGAAAGATCGTCTCTAAACTCAGTCTCATGTGAGAAGAAGAAACCAAGCTAGCTCTAGAAACTGCTCAAGACTTCTGAGTAAAACCAGTAAATAAAAAGCATTCTCACTATGCTCTTGGAAAATTTAGCTTTTCATCACCAACTTTGAGATAGTTTAAGTATCTCTGGGCTGTCTAATGTTTCTCCTGCCTCCCTCTTCCCTCCTTCTTTTATTTTTGCTTGATCCCTTTCATATCTTGACTCTAGAGCTCAAAATAGACGGGGACGTCAGACTGTAATTACAACAGGAAGAAAAGGGGAGAGGACCTTGCCTCCTTTTCCTTCTAAAACTTTAAGTTCTAGAAAAATGCTTTATCTTGAATACTACAGGAATTTTTGCAGAGAGCTGGAAACTAATGAGAATACACCACAACACAAGATTTTGGATTTCTTAATTATCTGCTGTCCAAAGCAAGCTAAAAAATAAATAAATAAATAAAATGACCTCCATCCCATGAGGATTCACTAGTACAAAACCTTTAGGGGCACATTAATAACTCAGAGATAACCATTCCCTAGAAACACACTCTGGGGGTACTTCATGGCAATATTTTTGAGATTGGGAAGATTTTTGTAATTTACATACAGAAAATCCTTAAAACAAGAAAGCAACTAGAGATTATTTGGGGGGATGTAAAGTTCCCAGAAACAAATGAGAAAAAAAAATCAATAAATTATAATTTATTTGGGCTTGGTAAAAAAAAAAGAAGGAATGAGACAAGCTAAAATGAGGGAGAAGAACCTACTGAAATATAGCCCAGATTATCCCAGAAATGTGGCTTTCTTTTTGCCTGAAAGATGGAGTGAAAAACTGTCTTACCAAATTAATGGATGCATTCCACTTTAGTGGCAGTGTATTCAGATGGCAAAGTCAGTGGGAATGGAAAGGAACACAGAATTTTTTTTTGTGGTTTTTCAGGGCAGAAATGACTTAGTGCAATCAGTGTAGTTTATAAAATCCACTCTAGCTTTTCTAGTTGCTCATCTAGAAATCTAGATATATGTATATAAAAGTGGTACTTTGTGAGATTCATCCCTATATTCACCTGCCCAGCTTTAATCAGAGCCAAGAAGTTGAGTAGGTTTGGCCATTTCTGTAATTTGCATGGTAGGTTAAGTAACACAAACAGCAATCTAGACTATGTCTCTTAAATGAAAGTAATATAGAAGAATGTATGTCTATTTTTAATTACAGACACACAATTTAGTACACCTTTTTGTGATGATGTTGTTGTTTAGTTTTACTTTCTCAATACCATTGAATGTCTATTAATAGCTATGAATCCTTTCTGGGGAAAATGCTCAAAGGCAAACGTGCTTTGTGTTCATGTGTGTGTGTGCGCGCACACACACACACACACGCAGAAATTTGGCATGAAATTTCAGAAAATTGATGGACTCTGAAAGCTGGGTCTAGTTAAGAGATCTGTCCTACATAATGCTTACTGGGATTTGCCTTTATTCAGCAAATAAATATCAAGATATAGATAGATGGGCTGGGGATATAGCTCAGTTGGTAGAGTGCTTGCCTTGCATGCACAAGGCCCTGGTTTCAATCTCCAGCACCACGCGCCCCCCCCCCACCCCCAAAAAAAAGATAGATAGATTCATGCAAGGAGTTGGGAATACAATGGTGAATCTCAGTGTCCGATTTTATGATGTTTAGAGACTTTTCTTGACTTTTTGCCTCTATTGTCTTTTTTCAACTATCCTACTTAATTTTTGTTATTTTTTGCTTTCCTTTTTTCTTGCCTACATCTTAGGCCTGTCCCTTGTTTCTTCCCCCACCCCCCCTGTACTGGGAATTGAACTCAGGGAGACTCAACCACATCCCCAGCCCTATTTTGTATTTTATTTAGAGACAGGGTCTCACTGAGTTGCTTAGCACCTCACTGTTGCTGAGACTGGCTTTGAACCCGCTATCCTACTGGTCTCAGCCTCCCAAGCTGCTGGGATTACAGGTGTGTGCCACCACACCCAGCCCTTGTTTCTTTATATAGGACAATACACCTGGAAAATTGTTAAATTCATTTTGGGGAATTTTCTCCCAAAATGTACTCTTTGCTCTACTCCTTGTTATAATAATAAATTACCCCTATGTTTCTGTGACCTAAGAAGCCAATCTCCATAGCCATTGGGGAATTTTCAAATCTCAAATCCATCTTTCTCTGGATACTTTCTCACAAAGTTAATGCTTATCATGGGTTTTTAATCTTTTCTGGAAATTAGAAATGTTTATATAATTTTCAGAAATAGAAGTTCAGTCCAGACCCTATATTAGAGTAAATTTACAATCTATCAGACAGTACCTTCTGTTAATTCTAAAGTTTAGCTCTGGATTATAGTGGACATATATTTTATTTAATATTGTAGTGCCATTTAATCATACAGTTAAGTCAGTTATTTTGAGCATACATGATATGCTAAACATAGATCAGGTGTATTCAGGAAGCAAAGATAAGACATTGTTTCTGAATGATCATCATCTTCTTGGGTCAGATACTGATGTTTATTGTAGTACTTATAGAAGCAGAGAGTACAGTGGTGGTTAACAGGGGCTTTGAGTGTTGGGGGAGGAATGCTAAAGAGTAAGCTATGACTGGGTAGCTGCTGGTCAAAGGATACAAGATTTTGGTTCAATAGATATATTGTACAGCATGGTGATTGTAGTTAGTAACAATGTATTATATACAAGAGAGTAGATTTCAAATGTTCTTGCCACAAAAAATATGAGGTTATGTGTATATATATATATATATATATATATATATGTATATATATATATATGCTTGATTTTGTCATTTCACCATGAGCATATATATAAAAACAACAGGTCATACACTGTATATAATTTTTGTCAATTAAAAAATTAAAATGCATACACATGAAGAAATTGGTCTGTCTCACAGCTAATTATTCAAACAGTGGACAATATTTTTCCATTCTGGATATGACTACATATCAAAATAAATATGAACTAAAAGTTGCTGTTTTCCAGTTAATCAAAAGTTATGCATACATATTTAGATTGAAAAATGAATAAATATTTTAATCTCTAGGAATATAAGAATAATATTGCTAAACTTGTGAATGAAATGAAAATCAAAGGGAAGGAACATAAGATAGAAATAAGCAAACTTTATCAGGATATGCAGAAAAAAGGTAAGTTTATTTTTTATTTACTTGTTTATTTATTTATTTTTGCATTACAATTCTTAATACACCATTATACAATAATTTATCATATCTCTGATTATATATGAGGTATGTTGACACCAAATTCATATCTTCATACATGTATTTTGTATAATGATGAGGATCTCCTTTCACCATCCATGCTATTCCCCTTCTCCCTCCCTTTCCTTCCCACCCCTATTCCCTATCTAGAGGTAATCTTCCTCCCTTGCTCTCCCTCCCAACCCCATTTTGAGTCACCCCCCTTATATCAGAGAAGACATTCGGCATTTGTTTTTTTTGGGGGGATTGGCTAACTACACTTAACATAATCTTCTCTAATGCCATCCATTTCCCTGCAAATGCCATGATCTTATTCTTTTTTATTGATGAGTAATATTCCATTGTGTATAAATGCCACATTTTTTTATCCATTCATCCATTGAAGGACATCTAGGTTGGCTCCATAGTTTAGCTATTGTGAATTGTGCTGCTATAAACATTGATGTGGCTGTGTCCCTGTAATATGCTGGTTTTAGGTCCTTTGGGTGTAGTCCGAGAAGAGGAATAGCTGGGTCAAATGGAGGTTCCATTCCCAGTTTTCCAAGGAATCTCCATACTGCTTTCCAAATTGGCTGCACCAATTTGCAGTCACACCAGCAGTGTATGAGTGTACCTTTTTCCCCCGCATCCTCGCCAGCACTTGTTGTTATTTGTCTACATAATGGCTGCCACTCTTACTGGAGTGAGATGGTATATCTTAGAGTAGTTTTAATTTGCATTTCTCTGATTGCTAGAGATTATGAGCATTTTTTCTTATATTTGTTGAATAATTGTATATCCTCTTCTGAGAAGTGTCTGTTCAGGTCCTTGGCCTATTTATTGATTGGATTATTTGGTTTTTTGGTCCTTATAGGTAAGTTTATTTTTAATTTAGTGAATTCTAAAGTACCATAAAATAGGTGCATGTATTTTTTTTCAGTAATAGCCACTATTCTTGAATGAATATGGTCTTGGTGCATTTTAATTTAAGTTTCCTATCATTCTATACATTTATGTGATATAATATTTAAAAATTTCATTCATAGTGTTTGCACTTACATTATCTAATGTGAGTGATCTTATATAGTTAGTATAAGTATATAAGTAATAATGTATTTATAAATTCAACATATTGAATATAATTTTACTAATGAAATTTTCTTCAGTGTTTTGCAAGTCTTATACACTTATGTTGAGGGTTAATTGGTTTAACATGGCTATTAAAAAAATCTTCCTTAATGGGCATATTTTTATGCACATTGTATACAAAAATTAATTGAAATGAATATAAAATCAATACCATGAAACTGATAGAAGAAAGCATGAGAATATCTTTGTAAATTATGCCTTTGAATTAAGCATAATTTTTTGGAAGGAAACAAAAAGAACACTAAAGGATTATGCACAATATTAAACTTATTTGGCTGCCCATCTATTAACTATCTCTACAACTCTCCATGATCAAGTCTTTTTGGTTGCTCTCTGACCCTCCTAGTCATTGTGGTAATTGTGGCTTCCTGGCTTTTCATGGTTAAAATCTGGCTTCTATTACTTTGTAATGGAAAAAGACACCATGGAAACTAATGATCTTTTTTTTTTTTTTGCTACTGAAATTTTATTAAAATCCAATTACTTATTTTAATTCAAGAAAATAGTAATATAATTATAATGGCAAAATTTGTATAGAGCTCAATATTTTCCACCACTGTTCTAAGTGCTTTCTAGTCAAATAATGGAATTTATTAGGTACACAAAAGAAGTCAGTGAGAATTAGCTGAATTATGTGTTATAATGGCTTCCTTGTATGACCATCTCTTCTACTGTCAAACCTAGCTTACAGAGAAAATAAATATTGAACTTTTGATGATGCTAATTTGCTTCTCACCAACACATTTCTGGTAGCTTTGGTTAATAGTTATCTTCTGGATCCTCCTAAAGAACATAATCCTTTGGTTAGTTCTGGCTTCACCTGGTATATCCATTCCAGCATGGCAACTTTCATTTTTTATTAATGCACATTAGTTATTTGGAATAATAGTTTTATTATGGCATATAGCACATTTTAATCATTTCCATGCCTTTATTGTCTCCTCTTTACCCACCTCTTCCCTGCCCCCTGTTCCTTTCCTTTTTTTAAATAGTCTCCTTTCTACTTCGATGTCATCTTCCCCACCCCATCCCAGATTCCACATATGAGAGAAAACTTTCAATATTTGTCTTCCTGAGTTTGGCTTATTTCACTTAGCATGTTTATATCTAGTTCCATCCATTTTACTGAAATTGACATGACTTATTCTTCATTATAACTGAATAATACTTCATTGTGTGCATATGTGCCACATTTGTAAAATCTGTTCATCAGTTAACCAGCACCTAGACTAATCTTATAACTTGGCTATTTGTGAACTGTGCCACAGTAAATGAAGGTATGCAGGTAATTCTATAGTATTTGGACTTTAATTCCTTCAGGTATACACTGAATAGTAGTGTATCCAGATCATGCAGAACTTCTATTTTTAGCTTTTTGAGGAAGCTCCATACTGATTTGTATAGCAGCTTTACTAATTTATATTCCCACCAACAGTATATGAGGGATTTCCCCCACATTCTTGGAAGCATTTATTGTTTTGTTTTTGTTTGTATTCTTGAAGATAGTAATTCTGAGCCGGGTGAGATGGACTCTCAGTGTACTTTTGATTTGCATTTCCCTAATGTCTAAAGATGCTGAACATTTTTATAAAATATTTTTTTATAAAATTACTGGCCACTTTTACTTCTTCTTTTGAGAAGTGTCTGCTCAATTCATTTACCTGTCTGTTGATTGGGTTATTTCCTTTTTTTTTTTTCTTTTTTGGTATTAACTTTTTTGAGACCTTTATATACTCTGGATATTAGTCCTCTGTCAGAAGATTAAGAAAGAGTCTTCTTCCATTATGTAACCTGTCTCTTCACTCTATTGTTTCCTTTATTGTGCAAAAAGCTTTTTAATTGATGCAATTCCATTTGTCAATTCTTGCTATTATTTTCTGAGCTATTTGAAGTCTTATTCAGGACATGTTGACTGTGCCTGCATCTTAGAGAGTTCCCCCGTATTTTCTTCTAGTATTTTCAAAGTTTCAAGTCTTATACTCAAATCTTTGATCTGTTTTGAATTAGTTTTTGTACAGAGTGAAAGTTAGGGGTCTAGTCTCAATCTTCTACTATGAAGATCCAGTTTTCCCAGTACCATTTGTTAAAAAAGTTGTCTTCTCCAATGTATGTTTTTGGCACTTTTATCAAGAACCAGAAGACTGTAGCTGTGTGAGTTCAATTCTATGTCCTCTGTTCTATTCCATTGATCTACATGTTTGTTTTTAAGCCAATACCATGCTGTTTTTGTTATAATGGCTTTGTAATATATTGATATCTGGTATTGTGATACCACTTGTTGCTCAGGATGGCTTTAGCTACTCTGAGTCTTTTATTCTTCCATAAGAATTTTTACAGTTTTGTTTTCACGTTCTGTGAAAATGGAATTGGCATTTTGATGGGGATTGCATTTAATCTGTAGTTGTCTTTCAGTATTATACACATATTAACAGTATTCACTTTTCTAATCCATGAAGATGAGGGATTGCTTCATCTTCTGGTGTCTTCTTCAATTTCTTTTTACAGTGCTCTGTAAATTTCATTGTAGATATCTTTCACCTTCTTGGCTAGGTTTATTCCTGAGTATTATTTTAACCTATTGTGAGTGGAACTGTTTCTCTAATTTCTTTCTCAGTATTTGTTATTGATGTACAGAAAATCTATTGATTTTTGTACATTTTGTATCTGCCACTTTGCTGAATTTGTTTATCAGATCTAAAAGTCTTCTGGTCAAGATTTTTAGGGTTTTCTAAATTTAGGACTATAAAATCTGCAAATAGGAATAACTTGACTTCCTTTTTCCTGTTTGTAATCCTTGCGTTCATGAAATGAAATCAACTCAATCATGGTGTGTTATCTTTTAGTATGTCATTGAATTCAATTAGCAAGTATTTTATGGAGGATTTTTGCATCTATGTCTATCATTGGTCATTAATGTTCTTTGTTGATGTTCAGTCATCATCTAGTTATGATTTCATTTTGATACTTGCTTCATAGAATGAGTTTGGAAGCATTCCTTCACTTTGTGTTTCATAGAATAGTTTGAGGAGCTTTGATATTAATTTTTCCTGAAAGTTCTGCTAAAATTTGTCAGTGAATCCATCTGGATCTTTGTTGGGAGACTACTTATAACTGCTTCAATCTCATTGTTATTGGTCTCTTAGGAATTTTATATTCTCTTGGTTCAATTCTGGTAGGTTGAATATTTTTATAAATTTATCCATTTCTTCTAAGCTTTCCAGTTTATTGGAATATAGTTTTTTAAAATAATCCATAATGATCCTTTGGATTTCAGTAGTATCGGTTGTAATATCATCTTTTCATCTCTAATTTTATTAATTTGGGTCTTCTCTTTCTTTTGTTTAGTTTGACTAAGAGTTTATCAATCTTGTTTATCTTTTCAAAGAACAAACTCTGTTTCATTGATTCTTTGTAATGTTCTTTTAGTCTCTATTTCATTGATTTTGACTCTGATCTTTATTATTTTTTTCCTTCTGTTGGTTTAGGTATGACTTTTTCTTGTTTTTTAAGACTTTGAGATGCATCATTATGTTTTTTATTTGCGTTCTCCTGAATTTAAAAAACAAAACAAAACTTTTTTTTAGTTATAGATGGACACAATATCTGTATTTTGTTTATTTATTTTTATGTGGTGCTGAGGATTGAACCCAGTGCCTCACATGTGTGAGGCAAACACTCCTCCACTGAGCCACAACCCCAGCCCTCATGAATTTTTTAATGTAGATACCCAAACACTGTATCATGTTATTCATTTAATTTCATTTTGATTATTTAAAAGTTTATTTTTCAGTCTCCAT